ACGTGAAACTAATGATTTTGTGGAGAAGAATGGTTTCAAATGTGATAACAGATATGTTGTCCCATATAACAGAGAATTATCAGTTCGATACAAAGCTCATATTAACGTGGAGTGGTGTAACCAATCAGGTTATATAAAGTATTTATTCAAATATATCAACAAATGGCAAGATCATATCACGGTTGCTGTTAAGCCAGGTAGTAAGAGTTATAACCATGTTAGTTCTACTGAAGGTAATAATGATGAAGAGAAGCCAGTGAATGAGGTTAAAGATTTCTTTGATGGAAGGTATCTCTTTTTCATAAAATTTTCAATTTCCTTTACATGATTGTATGTTTTTTTACTATTTTTATCTTCTACTCTGATATTATTTATTTCTGTTCTATTTTAGATATGTTTCAGCATCTGAATCTGCTTGGAGGATATTAAAATTTCCTATTCATTATCGATCCACGCCTGTAGAGAAACTTACTTTTCATCTAGAAGGGAAGCACAAGATTTATTTCAATGGCAAAGAGGATGTTAAATCTGTTCTGGGTAGGAAATCATCACAGCAATCTCAGTTTCTGGCTTGGTTGGAACTAAATAATAAGGATTCGTTTGCTCGGACTCTTACGTATGCACAGATACCGAATCACTATACATACAATAGTAAAGCCAAGGAATTCAATCGCAGAAGGAAAAAGGGTTTTAGTATTGGGAGGATTAACTATGCTCCAAAGAAATTAGAAAGTGATTACTATCTCCGAGTTCTTTTAAATATAGTCACTGGTCCTAGAAGTTTTGAAGAGATTCGAGCATTCAGAGGAGTTGTTTATAAAACATATAAAGAAGCATGTTTCGCGCGTGGTATTTTGGAAGATGATCAGATTTATATTGACAGTATTATATCTGTAAGTTTATGGTGTTTTAGAGATTATCTCCGTAATTTCTTTGCGTTGATGCTTTCTTCTGATTGCTTAACAACTCCAGAAGATGTTTGGGAGAAGACATGACATATTCTATTGGAGGATATGGAGAGAAAGAAAAGAATCGAGTTCAACAATCCTGGTAATAGAAAACATTTTTAAATCATGATTACATATATTTATATCATGTTTTCACAGTATTGTAGTTTAATTATTGTTTAAATTTGTACAGATCTTTATTTAAACGATGCTGACAAGAAAAATTTGACTCTACAAGAAATTGATAATCTATTGTTGAACATGGAAACTTCTCTCGATCGATTTCCATCAATGCCACAACCAAGTGGAGAGAGGGTCAATCATTCGAATCGTTTTATTATTGATGAGATGTCCTACGACACAGTTGATTTACAGAAGAAACATGATGAATGGTTGAAGATGTTAACATCCGAGCAGAGAGGAATATATGATCAAATCACAAGTGCCGTTTATAGTGGAAAAGGAGGTATATTCTTTGTCTATGGTTTTGGAGGAACCGGTAAAACATTTATGTGGAAAACTTTATCAGCTGCTATACGATCTAAAGGGTCAATTGTACTTAACGTGGCATCTAGCGGTAATGCCTCTTTGTTGTTGGAAGGAGATAGGACTGCTCACTCAAGGTTTTGTATTCCTATTAATCCTGATGATTTTACTTTATGTTCGATGAAAGCTAGATCAGATCTTGCTAATATGGTTAAAGAAGCAGCGATGATAATCTGGGACGAAGCCCCTATGATGAACAAGTATTGCTTTGAATCCTTGGATAGAAGTTTGTCTGATATTATTGGAAATGTAGATGGCAGTCCTTTTGCAGGCAAAGTTATGGTTTTTGGAGGGGATTTTAGACAGGTTTTACCTGTAATTAATGGTGCAGGAAGAGCGGAGATAGTTATGTCTTCATTGAAATCGTCTTATATTTGGGAACATTGCAAGGTCCTGAAGTTAACTAAGAACATGAGGCTATTGTCTGGTAATCTGAGTCGCGATGAAGCTAATGAAATTAAGAAATTCTCAGAATGGTTATTAGATGTCGGAGATGGAAAACTTTCGGAGCCTAATGACGGTGAAGCTCTAATAGATATTCCTGAAGAATGACTTATTACTGAAGCGACTGATCCCCTTGAAGTGATTAGCAATGAAGTTTATGGTGGTCCAAATTTGTTGATACAGAATGATGATCCAAATTTTTTTCAGGAAAGAGCTATCTTAGGTCCAACCAATGAGGATGTTGATTTGATCAATGAACGTATGCTTGATAAAATTAAAGGTATGTTGTTATTTCTTATAATATTTACATTTAACTCTAAAGTTGTTATTAATATATGCATAAGTATACTGAGTTAATTATTTATTTGTATCAGATGATGAAAGAGTTTATTTAAGTGCTGATACTATAGATCCTATGGATACAGTTTCAAGCAACAATCCAATTTTCACTCTTGATTTCCTACACAGTATAAAGGTACATGGATTACCCAAACATTCTATACGTCTTCAGATAGGGGTTCCAGTGATGTTGCTACGAAACATAGATCCTAAGGAGGGATTATGTAATGGAACTAGATTACAGATAACACAAATGGCTGATCATGTTTTAGAAGCTCGAGTTATTACAGGAGATAGAGTGGGTTCTAAGGTTTTGATTCCTAAGATTGTGATTTCTCTATCAGACGTTAATCATCACCTCAACTATTTGTGTAACTAATTCTACATGCATGAAAAGATATACAATTACTTATCTGGAATTTGCCCTCCGAAGAACAATCGCAAAGTCAATCGGCCAAATTTTAACTTTATACTCTGAAAACGATTCTTCAATTTATGAGATCGAACAGATCGATTGAACTTTGCATGAAATAATCGGAACTCTTCGTTATTTGTAAGTTCGAAGGATTTAAACGGCGAGATCAATCGACTTTGCTATGAGATCGATGTGTTTGAAAGAAAGTAGAGATTTAAGTAGATTAGAAGATTAGAGTAACTTCTGTTCAAAGATGTGTGTGATTTGGGGGAGAAGAAACGAAGCAGGAGAAGAAATGAATCTGATTTTTGGTTTGTCTTTTCGTCGAAGTCGGGAGAAGAAGAGTCGAGTTGAAGCTTTGTCTTCTCGATAATTTGGAGAGGAAGAGTCGAGAATCAAATACCGTTTAGTTTATTATTTTGGGCTTTTTCAAGTTGGGCTTTTTTAAATTGGGTTTTTCTTTTTTGATTGTTGATATTTTATTTAGTTTCTTTTCAAATTTGAAATAATTAATATAATTTTTTTATTCAATTAACAAGTCTAATTTTTTGTTTGAATTTTTTAAATAATTTTACCATCAACACTGATATTTTTTCTGTTTGATATTATTTTAAAATAAAATATTCGTAATTCATCAAAATCATTTGTAATATAATAAATCGTTACCAATTGCGATGGTAGATAAAAATAATTAAATTTATGTATACGCACAATATAACTTATATGTTTCGATATTATTTAAAAGCAATTCAGTACTTAAAGTAATTCATACATATATATATATATAATAAAAGTATTTTTATACTAAATCAAAATATAAGTTTTCATATTTCCTAAGTTGACCACAAATATAATGGTAAACACACAAAAAATAAGAATGTTCCTATATTCATCTACTATATAATTTTAAAGAGTCTTATTTAATTAAAATAAAAGATTTAACAATCATCTTAATCAAATATTAACAGTGTTAAATAATAACTTTATCAAAAATAATTCACATATATTTTTTAAATCTATCGAATTCTAAGTCAAAATCTTCACTATACAAAATAATTCACATATATAATCGACAAATGATCTAATAATTATACAAACATAACTACAAACTTAAAATACATATCACACGTAAAGAAAAGAAAATACCATTCACAAATAATAACACTTTTTAGTTCAACAAACAATAAAAGTAGACAATAAACATATCAGCCAATATAATAAAATATATATCTGTAAAACTAAACTGCATAGTATAATTTAAATTAAATATATATATAATCAATTACTCCGCACGTAGAGCGGACTAAATCCTAGTTAAATTATTAATCTCCCAACCATAGATCATTGAAATTGACGATCCAATGAATCGCGTACTGTTGTCATCATTCTCAGCAAGTGGACTTAGATTTTTATTAGATTTGTCGTTGAAAGCTAAGTTTTATTTCATTTTTAATCAATATTTTATTTTATAAACTACTCGATTTATTACAAAGTGGGAGTCCTACCGAGGGAGACCAACAATTTTTAAAAAGCAATTTGGGAAATAAATACTATTTAACGCGTTATGATGATTGTGATATTATGGTATCTAATAATTATTATTCTCTCTGTTTTATAATAAGTGTCGTTTAGAGAATATATATCTACAATATATCTAGATATATTAAACTCAAAATACATTTAGATACATCCAGTTACAACGCAGATACATTTTCCTCAAATGACATTTATTATGAAACAGATACTTATTATGAAACAGAGGGAATATGTAATTTGACCATGTTATTATTGTGGAATATATATGATGTAAATATAATTTAATTGTATAACTTATAAGGAGACTAAACATTGTAATTTCTTTCATTTTTGAACATCAAAAGTTGTATATATTACTTATAAATTGAACTACCAAAATTTCTTTAAAAATCTATTAAAATCACGATTGGAATTTGGAATATTATTTTGTCGGGACAAAAATAAAAAGAGAGCCAGCGACGTATACGTTTCGATTAACGGGAAGACCCAACTTTTTATTTTTTTATAAAAAGAAACAAAATTGTTATAAACAAAGAAAAAAAAAAGAAAAGAGTTAACAACATCACAACGATACTGGCTACGAAACAGCATTTTGCCACCGAGGATACGCTATAACAATCGTGTATAAAGAAACTCTATTTTTTCATCTTCCTCAACCATCTCAAATATCTCCCTTTTACGATTATGCCCTTCTCCAGACAATTTCTCTCATTTTTCTCCAGAAATCTTCTTTCTCCTTCCTCTCTCTAGATCTCATTTTCTAATCTAAAGCCATGGGAGTTTCTGTTCTTCATCCTCGTGATTATCTTAATGATCTTTTATCCAATAACAGTCTTAACCATCCTCACCGGCAGAAAAAACCGGTACCAAATCGCTGTCGCCGGAGTCCGCCACGTCGTCAATCGACGAGCTCTCCTCCTCCTGTCTCTGCTTTTATCCCAAATGGATCAAAGAAAAAGAATCTCAACCACATAAACAATCATGTGAGGATTTTGAAACGTGGTGAGGAAATCGGCGATAAGATACCAGATCTGGGGGTTGAAAAGCCAGATCTGAAACCTACTCGTCAGATTAGATCAGATCTGATGAAGATTCTGACTCAGATCAGAACTTCCGATCGTAAATCGATGCCGGCTTTGTTTTACGCTGGTCCAGTCACATCGACCTCTCCGCCGCCGAGCGATGTTCCCTTGCCGGCGTTCTTCGCGAAGAAAAGCGTCTCCGTATTCAAACCCGCCGACGCAACCAACGATCTGATCAGAATCATGCGCTTAGATATCGCATGATTCAGATCATTTCAGATCTCACGTTACCATTTCTCCGATCGTCGGAATCCTATTTAAAACCTGCAAATCTGAATAAGAAAGTGTTCCATCTCCACGCGACGAATCTAGAAGGTGCAGAGACATCTTCGTTACGAAACGTTTTTCGAATCTTCTCTTATTTTTTCAAAGGGAAAGATCGAATTATCTTCTTAACATTGTCTTTAGTTTCGCTTCTAGGATTAGTGTGTATTGTAGGAGTATTGTGTGAATTAGTCTCTTTATTCGTATTTCGTTCTTTTTTTAAGCGTAAATTATGGTTTATAATGCATTTCGTACGGTTTCGTAATAATCTGTCTAGTGTGATTTAAGATTATAAGTAGAGAGATGTGTTTGATAGCGGTAAGTGGTATCGATGTAATCTCTTCAGTATTCCTTCATCTTTGTATCTTTCTCTATCTTTTATTGAAATCACTTTTATTTAAATTCCATTAGTTCGATATTTTCTTTCTACTTGTCAATTTGTTTAGAAGTTATTTGAAACTGGTTATTCATTAGAATGCATGAGAATATTTTAGTAAGTTTTCTGGAATATCAACAATCATAATTTGGGAAACAGAGATTGATTATGACTTTATGAGGACGATCTTATTCTTAGCGCTTGTGTCTTCGTTTTAGAAAATCCAACAATTCTGTAGATGAGAAACCTCGGATTTATTTTGGACTAATCACAACGGCTCTTATTGCGTTGTTTCGATTTATCATATTTTCTGGTTGCCACCACATTAAATGATAAAATGACACCAAAAAATGCTAAAGCATTAGCCATCTGCCATCCTCTCTCGAACGTCTCTGCGAGTGCGAGTCACAATTATCTGAGTCCGAGGCTGATTTGCCACTTTCAAAAAAAAATTGATCTTTTCTGCCACTTTTTAATCTAATGCTACACTCAATTAATTGAAATATGAAATTACGATTTAGTCTTTCATAAAAAAATTAAAAATAACTGAATAAAAGTAAATTAGTGAATAAGTAAAAGTAAAATAAGTAAAAGTAATTAAATTTTTGAATCTGAAAAAAAAAACCAAAATTGAATCTGAAAAAGAAAAATTCAAATCTTCCCACAGCGAGTTCAGCTTCCGCAGTTCCTCCTCTTCCCTCTCACCCGAGCTCTGGTAATAAGCTCCTCCTGTGAGCTTATCATCCTCTTCGTCCGACTAATCTGACACTTTTTCCACTTCGTCTGATCCAGATTCCGAGTCCTCTTTCTCCTATTCTGCCATTGTTGAATGTTCCATATTTAAGGTGAGTTCTTCTATCTTTTTCAATTAGAGATATATTTTGTGAAATTAGGGATTTAGATTTGTAAAATTAGGGATCTGAGTTGGTAACAGTATATTTTGGATAGATTGAGCCATAGGTTCGGTAATTTGTGAGAAAAATGTGGTTATGTTAATCATATTCATATGTAGAAGAAGAACCCGATTCCTGGAGTTATGATAGGAGAAATAGTACAACTGGTTAAACTAGACAAATGGTACAACTGAGAGTGGAATGGTACAACTGAGAGCAAAATAGTACAATTAAGATATTGAGTTCAACTGGTACAACTGGAAAATTAAGTTCAACTGGTACAAATGAGAGGTCTAGTTAACCTAGTACAAGTGAGTTCAACTGGTACAACTTTGGTAGTTTGTGTAATTACTGATCGATTATTTTCATTATATTTTCAGGAGAGCATGAGCATCAACCACACAAACATACATTTTGACTATGGAGGGAGTTATTCACGTGGCATAGGGGAGTTGAAATGGTTTACAAGTAATTCCACCTATGCTATACCATGTAGGAACTTATCTGTGGAGGAGATAACTTATTCGGCGTTAGTAGATATAATATGCAGTAAGATTGGGATAGATAAAGCTAATGCACAACTGAAATTGAGTTACATTCCGTTGGTTAATAAACCGATAAACGAGTCAAAAATTTTCGTTGATGATGACGTATATGCTTATCTGACAACAGTGGATAACGAGGGGCTAAGGTCTGTTTTGCATGTGGAGGTAGTCAAAGATTTGGAAACGAGTAGGAGTGAGCAAGCTTCTAAATTTAGTGGTTCATTTGGTGTGAATTATGAGAAGCAGGTTGCAAATGGTAGAGGTGATGATGATGTTTGTAATGCAGTTACTATTTATAGAGCAGACTCAGGAAGAGAAGAACTTATGGAGCCGATTATTGAAGAGGTGATAGAGAAGGATGGTAATGGATTTACTGATGTGGATATGGAAAACGGTTTGGATGGTATGCATGAATATGTTGAGCTTCCAGGTTCTGTAGAAGTTAGTCAGTGTGTTGAAGAATGGGAGGATGGTATAGGTCTTGAAACAAGTCAAGAATTTTGTTCTAAGGAGGCAGTGCAAGATTTGGTTGACAAAGCTACACATAAAAATTATTTTGGGGTCCATACTTATAAGTCAGATACAGGGCGACTTATTCTAGAATGCCGTCAGAAGAGTCAAGGCTGTAAATGGTATTTATGAGCTGCAAGGTTTAAGAAATCGGATTATTTCAGTGTTAGAGTATACAAAAAGATGCATACATGCTCTCAGGCCGTTGAGAGTACAAGCGTTAGTAGAAGGAGAGGCACCCCACGATTAGTAGCATCTGTTTTGCAGGAAGACTATCCAGGTCAAGTTGACACCCCAGTTCCCAAAAATATCGTGAATTTGGTTTAGACTAAAGCTGGTGTTAGTTTGTCTTACTCTATCGCGTTAAGAGGAAAAAACTAGCTGTTAGTGATGTGCGGGGCACTCCTGAAGAAGGTTATAGGATGTTGTATTGTTATTTGTACATGATACATAAGGTAAATCCTGGAACCGTAACAAGTGTGGAATTGGATGCAGAGAAAAATTTCAAGTACCTATTCATTGCTTTGGGCGCTAGCATTGAAGGGTTTCAAGCAATGATGAAAGTGATAATCGTGGATGCAACATTTCTTAAGATTGTATATGGTGGAAAATTTGTCTTTGCCACAACTCAAGATCCTAATCATCACTCATACCCCATTGCTTTTGGTGTAATTGATACTGAGAAGCATGATAGTTGGATGTGGTTTTTCAAGAAGCTGAAAAGCGTTATACCTGATGATCCTGAATTGGTTTTTATGAGTGGCAGACATAAAAGCATCATAAATGCAGTAGTGAAGGTGTATCCCCACTCCCAACATGGACATTGTATATGGCATTTGTCTCAAAACGTGAGAGGAAAAGTTCAGCATAAGGTGAACAAAGATCTAGTGGTGGAAAAATTCATCCAATGCGCTCATATTTATATTGTGAGTGAGTTCGAAAGGGAGTATGCTGATTTTAAGAAGAGGTTTCCTGCAGCTGTTGTGTATTTGCATGAGACTGTATCGATTGATGAGTGGGCAAGGTGCTACTTTAAAGGAGAAAGGTACAATTTAGACACCAACAATTCTTGTGAATCTCTCAACAGTGTGTTTAAGAAAGCAAGGAAGTACTCTCTCTTACCAATGATTGATGCGATTGTTGAGAAAATGGCATATTGGTTTAACAAGCATAGGAAGACTTCTGCTGATATGCCGATCTCAAAGAAAGTGGTGCCTTATGTGGATAAAAAATTGCATGAACTATGTCCAATTGCTGCTCGTTTAGTTGTGGCTGAGCTAATAAGCTTCCAACTTGAATACAACGTTATTGGACTGGATGGGAAGGCTTACTTGGTGGATTTATCGAGCAAAACTTGCTCTTGCAGAGGGTTGGATATAGACAAGTATCCTTGTGTTCATGCAATCACCGCAGCCGCAGCACTGATGAAGAAGGGAGGGAGAACAGCACTTATGCTCTAGATATTACTTGAATGATACGTGGGTATTGGCATACTACAGTACAATTTTTCCAGTGCCGAATGAGTCTAGTTGGAGTATTCCTGAGGAAATACTAAATAAGTTTGCTTTACCGCCTGATTACACCAAATCGCCAGGAAGAAATCAAGAAAACCGCTTTCCATCCACTGGGGAACGTCGCAGGAAGACGAGTAACAGGTCTGTGTCTGGCAGAGGTTTCGCTTTCTATTTCCAGAGCAGCCAAAGTGGCAGCTCAGTTTGATTTATGTGTGTGTTTTGCAATTCTCGGTTTTGTACAACCATGTTAGACTATGTACAACTATAAATATTTCCGTGGTTGAGTTTTGTGAATTTGTATGACCAGGTTTAACTAGGTACAAGTATGAACAATTCTGAAGTTTATTTTGTCAATTTTGCACTTCCAAGTTCAACTGAGTACAACTATTACGTTTACGTGTTGCAACATAGGTGCAACTGGGTACAACTAATATCAATTTTGGAAGTGAAGTAAACAATTATTAAAGCTCCAAGTGATGTGGATATACCAATTAAGACCTATCAACACATTTTCAACTATAAGTAAACAATTACTAATAAGGTAAACATTAATTTTTTATTTTTATACAAAATTATGTTTTCACATCAACCACCCCTTACAATATAAGGAAGACATCAACAATGTTAAGCCATTTAGGAGTGAAAAAATGATAATATTAAATATTTTTTATATTGTAGTATGAAAACGTTGTAAATGATGTTTAATGGTCCAAAGTCATTTATACAAGTACAATATAATAGTTTAGAAGAAGGTTCAACTAGAAATACAATAAAATTATAAAAGTACAACTATTAAAGATTTGGTTATATTGATTGCTTGTGTACAACTAAGTTCTATTTATTTTGGAAAATTTACTCAATTTTCAGTTTTGCACCAGAGGTAAAAAAATTAAAAACATAGATATTTTTAATTAAAATCAGGCTCGGTCTCTAAAAATATTTCGTCCACTTTCCCAAATAAATGTTTGAAAACCGGAAAACCCTAGTTACTTTTTTCTCTTTGTTCTTCGACTGAGAGGGAGAGAGAGAGAGAGAGAGAGAGAGAGAGAGAGAGAGAGAGAGAGAGTGAGAGAGTGAGAGAGAGAGATACGATTCTGAGAGA